TATTTATTGAAAAAATTAAGATTTTTGCAATGGACGCCTAATTTGCACGAAAAATGAGAAACACCCATATACACGTAACGTAAATGTATTATAAATATAAAATAACAAATATAAAGTAAAATACTTTTAAAATTCTGCTTTCAGACTTCTCCAATCATCTATCCGTCTGCCGGTTGCATGTCAAAAAAAAAAACTAAAAACAAAACAAAAAAGCACATGAAAAACAAAGAAAACAATACAAAATACAAAATAACGGCACTAAACAGTATGCATAAACAGTTAATTTAATGAAACATATTTGGGAAATATTTAAGATTGCGTTCCAATGATAGTAATGAAGAAGATGTTGGTTGTACAATATGATTATTATTATTATTATTGCTAGATTATAATTTATTTGAAAAATAAAGTAATAAATGAATGGCTAGTACTCATGTCAAGATAAATCAGTCGAAACTTACACAGTGAAATGCTCAGCAATGAATGACATTATGTCTATTTATAACATGTATGTGACATCTTGATTATTGGTGAACGTACATAATATAATTAAAAACAAGTTAATTTAATAATGTCATTGTATGTTCGGTAACCATAAAATGTAAATTTAGGGTAAACAGCAGTGGAAGTGACATTTAAGTGACCAATTTAGGTTACTAACTAGTTTATGCTCACTATATAGTCCCTGCACACATACAATTGCAAACAAAAAAGGAATGCATACAAAACATTGTTGGAATACCATGACCTTATTTCCTAATAGCACCAAAATCCACCAATGACATGTCCCGATGCCGCTTATCTCCAGGCCCAATAACATAGACATGGCCCTCCCGGGTCCAGCACTTGTTTACACCGAATTTCTCACGTGCAGACATGAAAACATCATGCCGCGATTTGGTTAGAAATTCATATATGGTAAATCCGGTACCCTTCAACTTAGTTTTAGCAAACCATACTGAGTCCCGGGTGGCGATCTGGTTAAATTTAATGAGAATAGGTCTAGGCTTACTTGCTGATAGGCTAGACCTCTCCTGTGGCTTCTTTTGAAATCAGTTACGGTAAAACCACTAATTTTAAGAAGTTCGGTGATGATTTTAGACGCCAACAATGTAGTGTCCTCATTCTTGTCCTCGACAACACCATGGAACAGCAACATGTTTCGTCTACTTCGCATTTCCATGTTGTCAGCAGAGTGAGCCCACATTTGCACTTGATTTTGCAGATCACTCAGTGCTTGAAGAACAAACTTCTTGAATGTTACAAAGTCCTCCTGAAGTGTTGATGAAGTGCTGGTATCTTTATGCAGACGGTCTCTGGATTCAAATTCCTCCATGCGATTGTTGAACATCATGTTCATATCAGCGATGGCTTATAAGAGCGACTCCATAGTGCAGCTTAAATTGACTAGTAGTAGTAGTGTGACTTGAAGGTGTATATTAAGGAGATATATCCAAGATATAACACTTGTACCGGCAGAAGGTAGTGTCAATAACTATAATAAGTCATTAGATTGTACTAAGTTATGATATTGTAAATATATTTTAAATTTGACTTTGGAGCTGAAAATTTACTATGTTTACTGATGAACTACCCACTTTTTTTTCAGTGAAGGCGGATTTTGGGCGTCCTTCGCGAGATTTGTCACTTACACTAGTATGTCCACGCTGGAATTCTAAATACCAGCGTTCGACAGTCTGCAGATATAGGGCTTCATCACTGAACACAGATGTTAGCTCTTCAAAACACTGAAGCCGTGTCAGGCCTCTTCTAAAGTTGTAGAAAATTACTGCACGAAAATGTTTCTTAGAAAGATTCATTTTTGTACGTAACCTGACAAATTTCAATCGACGCTGTTACCAAACAATAGCATTAATCCTAATACTTTCAACTATTTTAAGATTCAAAATTTAAACACATTCGAATTTAGAACAGTTTCAAATTTAAAATTGCCGGGAAACATGGAAACGACAGAACTTAAAAGGCATGCCTAGTAGGGCATCGAGACTTATGGATTGTGGAAAGTCTACATGTCGCGATCTGTCAATACCAAGAGTTCCAAGGAACTTCCAGATGTTGGCAGAAGAGGAAGAGGAAATATTATCTAGAATATGGCGGCGTTTAGCATTCCATATCATCTGGTTACACTGATTCCTCGCAGACTTATACCGTTGCCAGTTAACCTCGACATGATCCTTCTTAAAAATCTTAAAAGCCCTATCTCGGCGTCTATCGCGAGCCATCTGTATACCCTTGGTCATCCAGAGTGCTCGCGGTCGTAACCTTTTTAACCGGTGCATGGGTAACGTACAATTTAGTCACTGCTTTATTGAATACGTGCACCTTGTCATCTATCGAAGTGGAATCAATCAGGGATATCCAGTCAATATGTGACGAGTGGTCACTCAACTTTTCGATATCGATTCGTCTAAAGCAACGACTGTTGAGAATCCTTGGTTTAGGTTTTAGAGGTTTGAGTACGTAGCAGAGGAAAATCAAGGCATGATGTGAGAATCCGGGGGCGCTAGTTGACCATGAGAGGAAAAGATTAGAAGAGAAAAAGAATAGTGTTAGAAGAATTGATAGTGAATTTAAGTTCCAATATGTGTCCCCCTTTGAAATTATTAAAGCCTTTAACACTATTAATGTTAAAAAAACAACCGACCTATGGGGAAATTCTGTTTTAATTACTAAGACAATTATATCTCTTGTGGCTAATCAATTGTCATTTACATTTAATCAATGTGTTGATAGTGGTGTATTTCCTGATCTTATGAAGTCTAGTAAAATTATTCCCTTATTCAAATCTGGTAGTACATCTGACCCAACTAACTTTAGACCTATCTCAAAACTACCAGTATTTAGTAAAATTTTTGAAAAAATTATGTATGATCAATTGCACAGTTTTTTTAATAATAATAATTTATTGCACAATAGACAATTTGGTTTTACAAGGGGTCGCTCCACAACTGATGCTAGTGTTGAGCTAGTAAAACATATATTTGATGCCTGGGAGGATGCCCACGATTCTCTAGGTATCTTTTGCGATTTATCTAAGGCTTTTGATTGTGTTGTTCATGAAACGCTGATCAGGAAATTACAGCACTATGGTATCAAAAATAAAGCCCTGGAACTACTTGCCTCATATCTATGTAATAGGATTCAAAAAGTTGATATTAATGGTGAGCGGTCTCCAGGCTCTGTGGTAGAAATGGGCGTTCCACAGGGTTCTATTCTCGGCCCTTTTTTGTTTTTAGTATATATTAACGACTTACCTCACTTTATCAAGGACAATCTCGAGATTGTGTTGTTTGCAGATGATACATAACTATTATTTAGACTAAAACGGACACTTTCTGATTTCACATTTGTAAACAGCGACATTTCGAAAGTGGTTCATTGGTTTGATGTCAACAATTTACTATTAAATGAACAAAAAACTAAGTGTATACGTTTCACTATGCCAAACGTCAAGCCAGTGAAAACTACTGTGATAATTAAGGATGTCGGGCTGGACCTTGTGGACACTACGACATTTTTAGGTATAACACTAGATGCTAAGCTACAGTGGGCCCACATATTGATAAATTGTCGAGTAGACTCAGCTCAGCAGCATACGCAGTAAGGAAAATCCGAGAGTTGACTGATGTTGATACAGCACGACTTGTTTACTTCAGTTACTTTCATAGCATAATGTCGTACGGTATTCTGCTGTGGGGGAATGCTGCCGACATTCAAACTATTTTTGTGCTGCAAAAGAGAGCTATTCGAGCACTTTATAATTTAGGCAATCGTTGTTCATTGAGGCAGAAATTTAAAGAAATAAATATAATGACAGTGGCAAGTCAATATATTTATGAAAATGTAATATATGTTCACAAAAATAAAGATAGCTTTTTGAAAAAAAGTGATGTACATGCCATAAATACCAGAAATAAAAATAGATTTGCTGTACCCGCCTCTAGGCTGTTTTTTATTATTATTATTTTTTCTATTTTTTATGTTTCACTTCATTTTCTCTTGTATTCGTTTTTTCTTCTTAATCTTGTTTTCTCTTCGTTGTTTTTTCACCTTTAAGTCCTTAATAACGGACATACTAGCACACATCAAAACAATGTTGTGATATATTTAATAATGCCATTGTATCTACTTGTGAATTGCAAAAGAGTGGCCATGAGTTTGTTTGCCCTTTCTTCTCATAAGGCTCAACCCCTTGGAAACGGGCGGTTGTAGATCGGCACAGGCATATCATAGATTTTGTATGGGTTTGATTTTTGTTAAATTTATTTGGTTACTATTTGACAAAACAGAGATTGTTGCTTTTGTGTGTGTTGATCTATGACTTTAGAGTCTACATGGAAGACGATTTCAAACAATTTTGGAAATTTTATGAAATAAAGAAAGTTTGAGTTTGAGTTTGATTGGAAGTGATGATTAAGTCGAGCTAAGTGTCCTCGCCGATATTATTGTGGTGAGTGACATGTAATGGCAGGACATGAAAGCTGACCGACTCAAGAAGGAGTTGGAGTTTACAGGTGCGAGTGGAGTTTTGGGCTAAGAGATTGGTATTAAAATCACCCATGATTACATTGTGAGCATACTCTGCACGGAAAGATTCGAGAACTGTTTCTAAATCAGTGAAATAGTCAATAGAAGGAGGAGAATAGACAACACCAAGCAAAATTACCCTATTTTTAAAATAAATTAGAATAACGCAACAAGTTATTATCACGCGCACGCGTCTACGGAATAAGTCTCAAACTTTAGTGATCAGTGTGTGTGCTATTGGACTTTACGCATTTGTATACTGCAAAGGTAACTAGTCTCGGTATCTTACTAGAAAGAAAGGGCAACAACATCCCAACTCTGTCACACAATACGTGAGCTGAACGTACGACAGAACAATGAGCGTTTTGCGCTCACCCACTGGATGTGGCTCGCTTACTAATTTATCTAATGTAGACTCACCTGATTTCTCTGAAGAACGTAATGTCGCGAAGCGAAATAAGCGAAAACGATCTGAAGACCTCAGCAATGAGATTGTTGAAATGCGCAAAGAAATGGCTCAAATGTTAACTTTGATGAAATCGGTGGATTCCAACCAAAAACAATTCATGGAAAGAATAACAGTCGATATGACTTCCATAAAAGAAAAAATGAGCGATATTAAATCTACAATTTCTGCCATAACAACTGAACAAGTTGCGATGAATTCGGATATAATAACGCTACGAAACAAAGAAAATATTCTGCAAAAATCTATCGACAAAATGCAGTTGAAAGTTGAGAAGTTGACGTCAGCGGGTTCACAACCAGGTAACGATATTAATATTTATTATTATTATTATTAGGGTATTATGGACGAGCAGCAAACTTGCTGATGTGTCCACATCACTGCACTGGAGTAAGTTTGTGATGTAAGAGTTCCCGTGTACATGATTAAACGGTTGTTTAGTCCAATGGGTTGTGCTTTTCTAACCATATATCTAGTTGGCACTTAAAACTGTTCACTGACTTTACGGTCACAACATTTTCCGGAAGCTTGTTCCATATCGCAACAACACGATTGTTCAAAGTGTGATAGGCTACCAGCGACTGTGAGTGTGAGCGATCTATTGCGAAGCTGTGTCCCCGTGATGAGTACGCCTTGCGCTGGAGGAGGAACATATCCTTGATATTTGGAAGATTATATCTTGAGCTTAGTATTTTATAGGTTTCAATAAGATCGCCTCTCATCCTGCGATGTTTTAATGTCGGTAATTTTAACACTTTTAAGCGTTCCTCGTAAGTCTTATGTCGCAGTCCATACGGTATCCTAGTTGCTCGCCTTTGCACACTTTCCAGCAGGTCAACGTCCTATTTCTGAAAATATGATCACTGAAATTAGACAACGTGAGATAAGAAGCAGGAATATTGTTGTAGCTGATATACCAGAACCAGTCTCGACAAATAAAGAAGACAGAAACGCCGCAGATAAGCTAGAAGTCATTAAAAACAATAAAATCCTAATGTCCGGAACCTACAAACACGATGAGATTGGAAAAGTATATCAAAGACAAAAGCGACCTACAAAAGTTTGTTTTAACTCAACAGACGCAGCAAAAACCAAATCACCAACACAGATGTTAAGATTCAGAAGTGTCTACATGAACAAGTAACGGAACTAAAGCGTCAAATTGAAAAGGGTAACACGAATTTAAAAACCAAGTACATCAATGCCGTACCAAAACTAATTGAAGATAGTAAAATTCTAAAAAACTAAATGCGATTGATTATCCTGATAGTACTTGGAACGATTGTATAACTTATAAAATTGTGGATACCTACGATAACATCTCGAGTAGCAAAAAGGCGATTCGATTTTAGTATGCCAATGTTCGTAGTATAGTGTGTGATAAAATTATTTCGAAATGCCCTACACTTCATTATTCTTACGGAGACCTGGATAAAAAATGAAGACGAAGCGAAAAGAACCCAAATTTCTGTGTATAAGCACTACTACAGTTATAGATGTAATACTAGGGGACGAGGAGTCTCCATATTTGCGCTGGAAAGTCTGGACCATTATGAAGTCGAAGAGCATAATTCAAGTGGAAATCACTTAATCTTTATACACTCTAAAACTTTTTCATTGAACATTGGCGCTGTGTATAGGAAACCGGAGTCTACTCGTACTAACATCAAAAATTTCCTCGAAGGTTACAGTCGCTATTTGCAGAGATATGACAGAGTAATAGTATTTGGGGATCTTAACCTTAACCTGTTAAGTAGTGACCCTGCGGTTTCTGAATACAAAGACATCCTACGTGAAAACGCTTGCAATATTATGAACAAAATCGACATCGGGTATTGCACTCGAGAAACTGTATCCTCAAAAACAATAATTAACCATGTAAGCTGCAGCTTAACAGACAACAAATTTCATTTTGTTTTAATAGAAACACCTATGTCCGATTACAAACAAATATATTTTAAAATAAAAAAACATCAACCTCAGCCTATCAAAAAAACAAAGTGTAAAGCAATTAATTATGAGAAACTATATAATATTATGGCAGAACACAAGAGTAGTAATGACAGCTGTAGTTACCAATTTATAATAATTTATTTTATTTATAATTTTTTTTTTATAATAATTTTTTTTTATTTTTTTATTTGACCAATATAAATATTACAGTGTAGGACATTTCAGTTTAACATAGATCTTAGACAATAATTAGACTAAATTACACTAGCGTAAATTTATAGTAGTGTTATTTTATTCTTATGACTGTGTAGTATGATTCATATTGTATGATTTTCTACACGTAAAGATATTAAGATTTTGTTAAAAATTTTAGTCGTATTTGATGTGGCTATCCGCCGCACGGGCGCAGTCCCAGACCGCCGCAGTAGCGGCCCTCCGCGACGATGGGCCCTCAAGCGGATGAACCGAGATATGCACGTTGCCGCAGCCATCGTCGCGGATTGGCCAGAGGAAGAGGAAGTACAGATCTTGTCCGATCCAGAAGCGCAGGCTGCTTGGTACCGTGGCATTATGACTGACGTCTGTGACGCGTCGATGCCACGGGTCAAGCATGGGGGTGGGAGAGGTTCTCTGTACTGGTGGACACCGGAACTCGAGCAGCTTCGCACAGCATGCTCGAGAGCCCGTCGCCGTTAGGTTAGGTTATGCGCTGCCGCTAAGGCCATTAGCCTTGCGATAGCGGAAGCCAAGGCTCGGTCCTGGAGGGGGCTCATAGAGGGACTGGACAGGGACCCATGGGGGCGCCCTTACAAAATTGTACTGGGCAAGCTCAGACCGTGGGTCCCGCCGCTGCCGCAGACCTTGGACCCGGAGTTTGTGCGAGGAGTGGTAGGTACCCTCTTCCCCGGGGACCGGGTCAGTCCCTCACGCCCTCCGTCGCCGTCGGAACCATTCACGTGGTCCGACGACTTTGACGTGACGGAGGAAGAGCTGGACCGAGCCGTGAAGCGACTCGCCGCCCGCAACACCGCCCCGGGCCCTGATGGGATCCCGGGCCGAGCATGGGTGTGCGCTTTGGTGGTCCTAGTGAATAGGCTGAGGCGGCTGTTTAACAGCTGCCTCCGTAATAGCGTATTCCCTGCCGGCTGGAAGGAAGCCAGGCTGGTACTTATCCAGAAACCTGGCAGGGCCGCAGATTCTCTCTCGGCGTATCGACCGATATGCCTGTTGGACGAGGTGGCGAAACTCTTTGAAAGAGTTATCGCCGCCCATATCAACCAGCACCTGTCGCGAGTGGGCCCCGACTTATCAGACAACCAATTTGGCTTTCGACAGGGACAGCGTCGAGCGACGCTGGACGCGATTGCACGCGTCCGCTCTTTGTCGGAAGAGGTTGTCTATCGGGGGGGGAGTGGCGTTGGCCGTCAGTCTTGACATTGTCAACGCCTTTAACTCTCTTCCGTGGTGGGCGATTAGGGAGGCACTTGTGTATTACCAGTTGCCTCCCTCCCTGCGGGATATCATCGGGGTTTATCTCTGTGACAGGTCCATATCGTATATGGGTCGGGACGGCGAAGATTGTCGAAGGGAGGTCACGTGCGGGGTTCCCCAGGGGTCGGTCCTGGGACCTCTTCTGTGGAACCTCGCGTATGATGCCGTCCTGAGGACCAGCCTTCCCCCAGGATTGAGTGGTACTACCCCACTTTGGTACTAGCTGGGGGGCATGGCTTCCAGGAAGTTCTGGAGCTCGCCGAGTTAGGGGTGGCTTGTGTCGTCCAAGGGATCAGCGGTCTGGGTCTAAGGGTTGCACCTCATAAGACGGAAGCCCTGTGGTTTCCCAGGAAACGCAGAGGTGCAGTTCCCACCAGAACGCTTATTAAAGTGGGGGGAACAGAGGTCGAGGTCGGGCAGTACATTAAATACCTCGGCCTCACCCTGGACAGCCGCTGGAGCTTCGAGGAGCATTTCGAGCGGATGATCCCCCGAGTTCGCGGGGGGTGGGTTCCCTACAGAGGCTGTTGCCTAATCTAGGGGGTCCGCGAGAGGAAGTTCGCCGCCTCTACTGTGCGGTGATACAATCCATGGCCCTCTACGGAGCGCCAATATGGGCCAAGCGCCTATCGGCCTCCTCCCGCTGCCGAGCGAAGCTCAATCAAGCGCAGCGGGTAGCGGCCATTAGGATCGTACGAGGTTACCGCACAATTTCGTCGGAGGCGGCGACAGTCCTGGCACGTTTCCCACCCTTTGATATCCTGGCGGATATGGACGCTAGGGTCTATGACCAAACTTGCGTGATCCGCCGGGGTGAGGGTGGGGAAGACCAGGATGAGCTCGAAATGCGGCGGAACGCCCACCGACAGGCACTGGTGCAGTGGCGCGCACGACTGGAGCAGCCGCGGAATGCGCGCCAACGCGCTGTCGGTGCCGTTCTGCCTAACCTTGAAGCTTGGGTAGGTAGGGAGGGAGGTTGCGTCACCTACCGACTGACGCAGGTACTCACTGGGCATGGTTGCTTCGGGGTGTACCTGAATCGGATTGGACGCGAGGAGACGGCACAATGCCAGCACTGCGCAGCCGACTGGGACTCCGCCCAGCATACGCTGGAAGACTGCCCCTCGTGGGCGTCTGAAAGCGAGGTCCTGGTCGACCACATCGGACGAGACCTGTCTCCGCCAGCAATCATTGCTGCCATGGTGGCGGGTGAGGAGGGCTGGGGCGCAGTGGTCTTTTCTGTGAAGCTGTAATGCTCCAGAAAGAGACCGCTGAACGGGATCGGGAGAGGGCCGATCCCGAACGTAGAGGACGTCGGCGGCGATATCAGCCGTCGACGGGGCCGCGGGCCGCCTGAGAGTGGGGACCTCTGGTGGCAGATTGATTGGTGCGGTAGGGAATGGAATGGCCGGCCTGATTGCATTAAGATGCGATCGAGCCGCCATGCCGCGATTGAAGAGGAAAGTGTTCTCCCCTGGGATAGGGCCTGATTAGGCATGGTGTCAATTCGGGGAGGACCTGAAATAACATGGTCCGGGTCCTCCCCAGAGTAGGACACCTAAGGCCGGCCGTCGGGGTGGTTTTTAGTGGAATCACCACATACTCCTGGCTCCTGAGTCCCCGAGGAGCAGGAGATCCGAAGGGATTTTCCACCCCGTCAACAAAAAAAAAAAAAGGGCATACAAAACGTATGGATTTGTTATGCGCACCTGTAGGGACTTTATTAAATGATAAATAAATGATGATAAATGATATTTATTTCTGTAAGTAAATCTTTTTCAGATATTTTACAAGTCGGACTTTATAGCGGCATTTCCTAAAACTCACTCTGGGAAGAAACGCCGAAACAAACCACAGAGGTGTCCTTTTTTTTTAAGTCCGTAAACAATAAAGTTATATAAAACTGTGCGAGTATAGTATAGGGTCGGGATAGGCCCTTTGAGGAAAGGACCATAGTTTTGAGTCAACCTGTCCATACAGACGGCATACAGGCTCCAGCCATCGTGTAGCCTAACCGATATTGGTCAAGATCAACAACCCGAAGCATTGCAAGCAAGCAAGCACACATGACACGACATTTGGGTAGGCCGTGGAAACACTCAAAACCACCAGAAAGAATAGAAAAACTATAGACGAACTTGGTTTGAGTCGGGTAAAACACT